ATACATTTTCCTCCAATCAATGCTGTACATTTGAAATTTGAGCTATACATTAAGAATCAGAGTTAAATATTTATGGTAATTTCGAATATTCATCTGCAACCTAACATTTTGCTTATTACTATTAATTTATATAAAATTTTAATCAAACATTAGGATATATTTAATATATATACATATTAATATGAATAATTAGATTTTTCATCTTCAAAATTATAAAAAAAATAGTAAAAAAATTATAAATTTTAAGAATATACTTAATATTATTTTTAATCCCTAATATTTGAATGGTCATTCTCAAATTGTTAAAACTTAATCTAATATTCAAATTTTCTGACCTTCTTGATTCAGAATAAAGAAATTGCCACATTTATCTAAGATTTTCTAATATCAAAATTTTTGTTTAACAGCATTATTAGCTATTCTATAAAGACAAGCTACATATATATGAATGAAATAGTTCAAATTTTAAACAAAAAAGTAATTCTTAAATAAAAGAAATGACACAAAGTTCAACCTTTTTATAGATAGATTTATTATTCATTTTATTCTATTGGAAAGTCAAAATTAGACCTTTTCGGTAATATGAGTTTGGGCAGAATCAGAGATATTGATCCATTAAAGGTGGATATTTAGCATTTAATGGCACAATTTAAAAATATCTATATTCAAGGCTACATCAAAGTAAGAGGATAGACAAAGATAGAACACATGAAAAAACATTCTAATAAACATACCACACAAAACAATCAGACGAGAAATTAGATAAAGGATATGTCAATTCAAAATTCGAAAATCAAAATATCAATTTGAAATACATCTTCAATGATTTTCTAGTTAACTAAGTAGATAGAGACAGAAGAAAGTAAGGAATACTGTGAAATATAAAGATATTGAGATTTAATGAATACATTTTACTTTTTTGTTCACTTAAGAATTCAATAGAATAAAATAAAGATTAGGAGAATTACTAAAATGAACTTTCAAAATAATATATTTATAGTAAGATGATTTCAATTTTAGGATACAGCTGACAAGTGAGAAGGTAGATAATAAGGATAATACATCTAAGGGAAATTAAACTTAAAGAAATTTTCATCAGATAGGAAATAATATAAGGATATATCTTTTTTGTTTAAACTATTGACTATACACAATATAAATGTTAATTGATTCTCTTGAAATTTTATTATTTATATAGATGTATAAACCATAAATGATAGAAAATGAGAAAGAATTTCGTTGTTCTTAAGGACATAATCAACCAGTTGTTACAATAGCATTTGATCCATAATTGAAAATGGATTAGAGACTCTTGTGTGTAGAATGCGTAGAAAATTTATAAATTGATGGGAAAATTTATGGGTTAAAAAAAATCATTTCATAAATGGAAGAAAATTAGATAAAGAAATTTGAAAACGTTGAAAAAATAATAATGATCCAAATACAATAAATTGAATCATTACAGAGTGTTGTTGATCAAATCAAATAAAGAGTAATGCAATAATTAAATGAATTGATTAACATAATGATGGGATGGATTAAGAATCTATAATAATAAGGATAGTAATAATATAAATATAGTTTTTTCAAGGAATTAGAGCTAATGATTTTATCATAAACGAAAGTTGATTCCACCTCATAAAAATTAATTAATGAAATTTAGAAAATTAATATTTCTTCAACTTAAAAATTATATTCTAAATTAGAATATTTTAAGCAGTTTGAAGAATATAATAAATGTAAGGAACTATTGTCATGTTTTGACATAGATTGGTAATTATTAAAATAGATAAAAAATAAACTACTATCATAATCTCCACAAAAAAATAAAAATGATGAATATATACTTCCATATAATGATTCTTGTTATGCAATAGCAATAAATAAAGATTGCTCAGAATTAGTGGCTGGATCTGATTCTAAAATAAATGTATTTGAATATAAATAAGGATTGCTGACATCGATTTAAACTTTATAGGAACATTAGAATAGAGTGAATATATTAAAATTTATGAAGAAATCAAATTAATTCATATCTGGAAGTGTTGATTAATTTATCATAATATGGTAAAAAGTTTAAAACAATTTATGGAGTTTAAAAAATAAATTAATTGGTCATAGTTCAATTATCTATTGTTTAGTATTAAATAATGATGAAGATTTAATTATCTCTGGTAGTAACGATAAAAGTATAAGATTTTGGACAAAGAAAAATTAATGGTTATGTAATTAAGTAATTACAGATCATACCAATTCAGTATTTGGACTAAGTTTGAATTAATAATAAAATATATTAGTATCTTGTGGTGATGATGGTTAATTATTAATAATAGAATAATCTATATAGAATAAAGAATGGATTGTAAAATAGAAGATCAAAGTTGAACAATATGGATATAGAGTATGTTTTATTGATAATAATATGTTCATATTCTCACCATTTAACAGCGAAAAGCTTTTTGTATATGGGAGTAATTAATACTTTAAAAAGATGAAAGATATTCCTGTAATGTGTAAAACAGATGGTTGTTGTTTATTTCCTCAATAATATATTGATTCAAAAAGTATTCTTGTGAGTAAAAATGGAGAGTATGTCAATTTTATTAAGAAAAATTAAAATGGAGACTTCATAACTTACAATTCTATTCATTTTGGAACTTGTACCCTATTTGGAACAATTAGTGATGATGGATAACTTTTGATTACTTGGGATATCAAATCGAAATAAATAAAAATAAGAGTAATTTAATAATGATGAAATATATGAAAAAGTTTATATATGAATGGTATTATAATTTTTTTAGTTTTCATGTTTTTTATCAAATATTATTTGATATCAGTATTGATTAATTATTAATATTGAATGAAATAATCCATAATCTAAAAGAAAAAAAACCAGGTTATATTTTGTAATTATAATAAAGAAACATGAATCAAAACCTGATGATCTAGTATCAGGATTGTTCAAGAGTTTTATTTGGAGAATATTAATATTGAAAATAAATGATTGATATCACAAATTAATAGTCATCATTTATAAATGAATCAAATTTTCATTCTTCACTCCAACAAGAAATATTATTAAACCATACTTTTTTTTTGGTAAAATATATCTTAATTTAAAAGTCCTCAACATCAAAATAAATGTAAGAATTTCAATAATATTTGCTAAAATTGTATAAATCTCTTAATAATGAAAATAAAAGAAATGGATTTAGGAAGATTAATTTAAAGTTTAAATAGATCTTTCTTAATTTAAGGACTATTAATACAGAAAAAGAAAAACAAGCTTATTTTGGGAATGGATTTAAAAATTGAAAGCATCTCTAAATTTTTGATTTTTCCAATCCATCTATAAGTGATTTAAAATCTAAATTTAATGGTTTTCTTTTAATCATCTATAATAATGTAGCATCAGGATTCAATGTAAGAATGTTATCAAAAATAAAAATCCTGAAAAGGAATTTTTTTAGGATAGTTTTAAAAAGCATTATCCTAGAGGCAAATGTCATATTTAAGGAATATTAGAAAAAATCACAATATGTTACGAGACTTTAAAATGAGAAGGGTAATTATTTAAGTAGGATACATTTTTAAGCTTATGATAGTTATACATTTCTTAATAGACTTCCAATTTCATATTAATTAACTTTAAAAAATTAATGAATTTCGGAAAAATATCATATAATATTGTTATATATTATTATTTTTTAATTAATAAGCGGATACTTAATTTCTTTATACTAATAGAAATATTTGAAGTCAGAAACTCTTTAAAAAAAAATAAGTCCCCCTCTAAAATTAATTTGGTAAAAAATAATTCAAACTAAACAGTATTCCACTTTTTTCATATTATTAACATAAATAATCTAGTAGTACATAATTTAATACAAAAAATTAATTTGCATTACAATTACAATCATAATAGAATAATATTTTTTGAATTAATTATTTTCAAATTAGCGGAAAATTAGATCCTACAGATAGATAGTAATAGGCAATAAACTATATTAAATTTTACAATTTACTTTATTGAATATTTCTTTTAAGATCACTTAGAATGAGATTTCATCTTATTTAACTTCATCATCGTCATCTATTTATCTTTATTGTTTTGAGCTATCATCTTTTATTATTCAGATTATTATAATATGTGAAAGGACTTTCAGATCTGAGAATAATCAATTGATCAAGATGAAGCAAATTTTGATAAATAAGTAGTAAAATGTTTTAATTCATTTGTAAATATTTAAATTAAATTTTATTACAATTTATTGATAGTATCTAGAAACATACATAGGTAATCATTTACTGAAAAATATTATTAATCTGTTATTTCATCTACTTGGTTATTTTAAACCAGATAAAATTGATTAGATAATGACTGATTCTTAGAATGCATTCAATAAAATATAAACAAAAAAGTTGAATTAATATATGCTATAACAATTGCTAGTAGCGCTGAATCTAATTTTTTTTGGATTTTTTTATTTATTCTCTAAACTTATTAATTAACAAATAATAGACATTTATTTTTACCATTATCTTTGGCTTTATTTTTTTTTGTAAAGAAAACCTTTTATTGATTCTTAAGTAAATTTGAGGTTCTCCAAAAGGTTTTATATTATCTTGTCTCTACCTTAGGTTCCAATTTCTGTTTTTTAAACTATTTAACGTTAAAATTAATATGTTTATTTTATGTTTATCTTTCCTTATTTTTTAATATTTATTTCAAAAATAATCTTAAGAATTGTAGAAACTAGATTCAAAAATTTGGGTAAATCTAAATATTATCGAATATTATTCCATCCTTACGAACTTGATTTTGATGTATTTTTTAAAAGAAAATTAATTATTTATTTTTCCCATTATTATAAATATAAGAGTATTTATAAATAATTAATTCATTATAATATTTGTATATATAAATAATTTAGAATTGTATCAATTGGAAAAGCAAGGTGATCATAAGAATCGGCAATATAGTTAGTATATTCCATATTTTCCAATTAGAATTAATAAGTAGCCTTTTGTCTAAATTAATCTTAATTTTTTCAATTCAAAGTTTTTCTGTTTTAAAAAAATGAAAATATTGTAGTAATAAAATAATGAAAAGTATGAAGGACATATTAATATTATCGATTGACTTTAATGAAATTAGTATTCAAAAGAATAATCAGCTATTTGATTAAGTATAATACAACTTATATGATTTATATAAAAGTTAAAAGGAGTCATTTAATTATATAAAATAGGTTATATTGATTGGGATCTTAAAACAATAATTGTTATTTATTTTGAGTATTCAATGAGTGATAGTATTGCTAACATTAAATTATTTCTGATATTTAATAGTTAATCTATTTTTAAATTCAAAAATAAGTATTATATTGGCAAAAGTAAAATACAACTTTCTATAATTATGGTTAAACTATAATGGAGAAAAAGAATCGATTAAAATCTCTATCCCAAAATTTATGATAATCCTGAATTTAAACTTTTTAAAAGGCATAATCCTAGTTATAGAGCAAAATTACAGAATAGCATTTTCAAATAGGTCTACAGAGAAAAACTAAATTTTCAGCAAAAGAAAAGTTCTTATTTAAATGAATCTTTAAATTTATATATTCTATTAAATTATATATATAATTTGGTTCAAATTTTCTAGAAATAACTTTCTGAACTAAAGTTAATTAAATGATAAATATCTACATTATCTTATAATCATTATCCCCCAATCCTTTGTTCTTGATTATGCCCCATATCTCATTTTTCTATCCGTTTTTGTATTCTTCAATTAAATAACATTTTTTGAATTTATCTTTATTAAATCAAAATAATAATTGCTAAAATAGTCACTCAATTCTTTCTAATCTATAATATAAATTGAATTAATTTATACCTCGAAAGACTATCCCTTAATTCAATCCATTTATTATTTTATCCCATTTTCTTTATATACTCTTCCTTCATTAATTGTCAACAAACTTCTATTTTTGACCACATAATACCAAGTTCCTATTCTAACTACTGTATTCTCCAATTTCATAAATTTTTGCATTGATTTTATATCATTCTAATAATAAATACTCCCTAGAGTTCATTTCTAACCATTTTCAGGATTTAGTTTAAATCACATATTTTCTTAATAGTTTATGATTTACTATAAATTCTCCAAATTCCAGTTCCAATCCATAGTCTACTTTCTTATTTTTAGAAGCTGTGAATCCTTTAACTTAGCCAAGTAAGATACTTTATTTGTTCTAAATTAGTCATTATTTATTGGTCACTTAATTTATTATTTTACTTACATCCTAATCATTTTCCCATCCACTAGATATAGAATTTCTTTTTTTATAGATTTTTGACTTAGAATATTATTTTTTAAATATATAATCTCCGTTTTTGTTAGGAGTTAAACCATCCCTGATGTATATTTTTTGATACATAAAGGAAATGAGTCTATTTGCTAATATTAAATAATATATCTCACTTAATGAAAAATAAATAGTAATTAATCTCTATATATATTAGTGATATTGAAATTTAATGATAAATACAAGCTAATATATAATGGATTTATTAAAATTAATAAGATTAATTAGATTAATACTTAATATTAAATGAATATTTGCACTGACCATCAATGAATTCAAAGAAAACTTTTTAAAAGTGTAAAAGGAGTATGATGTAGCTGCTTTCTATTCATAAATTAGAAGACAAAGTCATGAAAAAGTTGAAATAATACAATTTAAATGCTCAGATTTCTTAACAAATTCGGAGATGATCAAAAGTACTAAAATCTAACTTAATCAATTATAAAATATTTGATATGAAATAATAAAAAGATTAATATTATTATAATCTAAAATTTATTGTTCCTTTTGAAATACATCAAACGAGATTTTGCTCTTAAATTTTACATAACAAAATTATATTGAATATCAGTTAAATTATATATTGAAATGTAACTATTAATCCAATTGTAGTTTTGATATGATAGAAAGTTTAGATACAGTTTTTTTCTTACATGGATACGATAATTTAAGTAGTAATAATTTTTTATTAAATGATGAAATATTATTTAATTTAAGTACAAGATAGAGTTTTATCAAATATTTTAATACTGCTAAATTATTTCATAAAAGGATAACATCTATAGTCATAAATAGAAAATTAAATTTGTTATAGTCACTCCCAAATATAAATATCTAGATCTCTCAGTATTTACTTTACTTGAAATGGATACTTGTGCAGCTTTATTTGACTATTTTACAGCCAATCCATTTTAATAAATAAAGGAAAGTTTAGTTTCATAAGTTGCTTAATTATACAAATAGAAATTAATAATCTATTGTATTTTTTTATAATATAACCTTTTTGCAATAAAAAACATAATCTCTTATTTTCATTTCATAAACCTGTAGTTTCTAGTAATGTATCTATTTGATTAGCCTTTTTTTACAATTTTGTTTCCTCTCTCTTTAGAATTATAGAATTTGCCCATTATTTTTTGACTTTTATAGATTTTCATTCCTTTTCTATCTTTATTTGCTTAATTATTAAATAATGAATTCTGTTACTGTTAAAAACCGTTTTAGATTTTCGTAGCAATCTTGAAGCCATTTAGCCTAGATATTGTTTTCAATATCTCCCTATATTTTTCCAACTACCACTAAATAAAATAGTGGTTATCTTAAGAATAAAAAAATCACTTTGATTGATTTTTTCTTTTGCTGATTTATAAATCTATTAATCATAGATGTTCTATTCCTTAAAGAAGATGTAATAGAATTGTGATTATCTTTCACAACATCTACTGCTTATTTTATGTTTCCTATACTAATCAATTAGCTTTTTCAATACTCTATTTTTTTATTCCTTAATGATTCATCTAATTATTCAGATGTACATTAACGACTATATTAAATACTTATTTACAACTAATTAAAGGTACACTTTGATGTTATTATATTTTTTAAGCCATACTATCACTTCTACCTGTTCCACCTTCCATAATAATTTATTCCTCGTTTTTATTCTATTGAAGGTTCTCAAAGAAATATTTTGGCATCTATGTCTCTTATTTTCTTTTTTTAATTAATATTTATCTAATTGATACTTTTGATTTTCTGAAGGAAGTACATATACTAAAATATAAAAATATAGGATGACTTCATCGTTCAAATCACACAACTCTAAAGGCGAAAGTTTTAAAGAATTATAAGTTCTATTTGAGCCAAAGGTTACTTAAATAAAGTTCAAATTATTATTTATATTATTCCATCTCAAAATACTTTAACTATTCTTTATTTATAACCATACCATAAGTATTTCAATAATATTTTTTTAATTCCAGGATCCTCAATATATATTATAATATCAGGTCATAATTATTTATCTTTAAATCGAAATCATAATATAATATATAAGAAGAAGTTAAAAATCCTTAAAATATCATTTTTGATGATTAAAATTAAATTTAGTATTAATTTTAATGTTATATAAGCGTTATTAAAATTTTTCAATTCAATTATTTTTTATAGAATTTTTATAGATTATTTAAAGATAATTAAAAAAAAAATGGGAAATATTGAGGATAATAATTCGAAAAAAAAGAAATCTGGAATTTCGGCTTCATAATTTGGAGATATTTTTATTAAAACTGATAAACAATATTATTTCTCAGGTGAAGTTGTTTATGGTATAATTGATATTTAAAATTATGTAGGAAATATCTATTTAAATGTAGTAAGGGATGGATATCCAGGATGTATTGTTTATTTGAAAGTTTCAGGCAAAGAGAAATGCAAATGGACAGAAACAAAAACACGTACATCAACTGATGAAGAAGGTAATACTTCCGAAAGCACAATTACTCGTACATATACTGGGAAGTCAAATATTTATTAACATAAGTTGGAATTGCATAATTTTTAAACTCCTTCACTACCATAAGGTTAATTTGTTTTTCCTTTTTTATTTTAACTTTTCTCTCATCTACCTGGTTCATTTTATGAAAAGGATTTAGCATAAATTAGCTATAAAGTGAAAGCTGTTGTTTTATCTAAGAAATCCTCTTATAATTGTATTATTAACAGTCAAAGATTAATCATAAGAGAACCTATACGATAAAATAAAAAACCTTTGATTGGTCAAATGTAGGTACATTCCCAGAATTGTTGTTTTCCAAGTGATGAAGTATTAAATACATTCTATTTATAGGCTTGTCATGTAAATTGTAGTATTGATAAACTTAATTATCTTCCAGGAGATGCAGCATAGTTAGAAATTACCATTGATAATTCAAGCTTAGATGAACAAGTGAATTCCATTTCTATACTTTTATTGAATACTTTGACATTAACAGATGATAAAGGTCATTAAAAGATCTAAAATGGAATTGTTGTATAGAAAGTGATATAAGGAGTTCCATCAAGAGGTAAGGATAAAAAGAATGTACAGTTTATTTTGCAAAATAATAAATCACCTTAAGAATTATAACCATCAGCAAATGGCCATTTAGTCAATTCAGTTTATTCATTATAGATTAAGATTAATTTAGATTGTATAAAACTTTTATATTTTAGCTGATTCATGCTGTTGTAAAGAGGATCCATCAATTAATTTTCCTATTTAGATTGTTGCTCAAGTGCCTAAGTTAAATCCAATTGTAGAAGAACCTCCTAATTGGAATCCTTAAGTTTTTGAAGTATAAAAGGTCTATCTTACTGATAGAAATAAGGAAAAAGTTGATAATTAAGATGGATCAAATGCACAAAATTTTAAGTTTTAATCTTATAATAGAAATTAAATATAGGTTATGTAGTAGCAAATGAAGGAATGATTATTTAATATTTCATAGTAAATGATATATATGAATTATAATCTTGAATTTCATCTATTTTTAAGAAATAAATTGAATATAATTGTCTTACAATAAGCAGACATGATATTTCAGATTATATCCATAAAATATAAGGAGATAGATAATTTTGTACTTTTGTATTCTTTAATTAAATAAGGAAATTACTTGGATTCATATAAAACATGTATAGATAATCATTATAAGCTAGATATTTTCAATTATTTTTTTTAATTAATCACAACAAAATTACTAAAAATATATTTAATGATAACTAACAATGATTAATTAAACATATTTTATTTCCTAAATCTTCATTCTTAATTTCTCGAACTTTTTCAATTTTTATTAATTATTTGTTGTTTCTTTAAAAGATGTTTGTTTTATTTTCAGAACATGAACCTATAAATTTTAATGATATTTTTGAACAATACCTTAAATTTATTTACCTTATTTGCCAAATAGTCTCTTTTTCATTCCCATCACTATTTTGACGCTAAGCCACTCACATCTTAATTGCTCTGTCTTCACTTGAAAATCTAACTATACCTCTTTCTTATTATGTAAAATTTACTCAGTTTTTCTTTTTCCAACAAATTATGTATTAATTTTTCAAGTAGTTTTTCCAAATTCATTGATCATCACTGCTTTCTCACTTCGATTATTAATAAGAATGAGAGAAACTTAAGTAATTTTAACATTAAAAGGGTTTTAAATATTGCAATTCTTGAATTGCCGCAGCATTTCTAGATGAAAATGCAAATAAATTCCCTTTTCTGTTTGACCCTATTGCTACAAAAATCTTCTCTATTTTTCTTTTAAAATTAATTAATAATATATAATTGATAATATTCCTTCAATAATTTCTTATGTTTAGGCTTTTTTTTAATTTTCCTCTAATTCATCTTGTTAACATTATTTAACATAAAATAACAATCATATTGGTCTTGAATAAATTATAGTCTTTTATTTGAATTAATATTAATTCATTACAACGAATTAGATTATCTGTTTCAATATTTTCCTCATTGAATTAATAAAGGAAGCATTGCATTTAAGGATGTTTGATTCTAAATTTCTTTATTATCCCATCTATTTCAAGTATTTTAAAATAATAATTAATTACGATAAGTTGTTTTATTTAAGTCTTATTTAGATTAAAAATTAATTCAAATAATTAATAAGTACTAGATGAATAGATTATCTTGGATAATAAAAGATACGAGGATGAATAAATAATTTCTTTTCAACTGAGATAATTGCTACACTATTTCAACTAAGGTTTGATAATAACTTATAGTTTAGGTGAATATTTTACAATTTCTATCAAATCAAGGAAAAATAAATCTGTATGCTGAAAAGCTGAACAAAACTAAAAATTATAAACTAAATTATTGCTGATATCCAAAAATATGATGAAAATGAAAAATACCAAATGCTATATTTTATAAATAGCCCGAAGAGGACAAATTCTTTGGATATTTTGAGCATTTAGACTTGAATTTATATTTAATAAACATTTAAGTAATACTATATGTAATTAAAGGAATTAAATATATATGAAGCTAATCATCTAGTAGAGGGAATAAAATTAAAATTATTATAAAAATGCTCTAAGTAATCTTGATTTTACAAAATTTTGGTTAGGGTTTTTTTTTCAATATCAATTATCCAAAAATAAGGTTATTTTAGGTTTAAAAGAAAATACTATAGTAATTTTAGTCTTGTAATACATAGATATTTATTTAATTTGGTTTCGTCTGAGGTTTATTACGTAGAAAATGCTTAAAAATTTTTTAAGGATCCTGTTTATTGTTGCTAGATTAAGTGCATTATTTTTAATTCTAACGACAATTTGAGAAAAAATGAAAGCGATCCTTGTCAAAGTTATTGTTGTAAGGTGTCCATGTAGTGTTGAATATAGTAAGATTAATTTTGAAATCAAATTTCCAACAGGATAAATAGGTAAAAATCTTTTCTAATATTATAGGGGCTCCTATATGAATGTAGATTAAAAAGGTGAAATAGTGAATCAACTCTTAATTTTGATAATAAAATATTCTCTTTCTTAAGCAAGTATCAAAAGAAAAAAACTTTAGTTCAACCATCGAATTAATATAATATATTATAATTATAAAATTATAAGATATTGTATTCATATTTTAATATTTTGTAATTCATTTTAATATCCAATCTATTTGTTTATTTTTTGACAAAATATTGAAAATCTATTGATTGATTTTAGCATTGGCATGTGTTGTAGGTACTTTATAAAATTTGATTAATTTTTAAGAAAAACATATGCTTTCTTATAATAATTTGTCTAAATAGGATACAAATAATTTAATTAATACATTATATATAAAAATTAGTCATTTTTAATAATATTTACAAGGTAAATAAAATTTATCTTAGACTATTATGCTTTAAATGCAGTATTTATCCGAATTAATAAGATGATTAGAACTGTATTCAAATTATCTATTGGTGAAATTGAGTATAGTAAAAAATAAATAAATAAATGCAAATATAATTAATTATTCATATGTTAATGATCATGATATTACACAATTATCATTTTTTTTTTAAGTAATATCTACGAGGGTTTCCAAAATACAAGTTCCTCTCTATTGAAATAATATCCTTAAATCTTCTCCCTAAAAAGTCACAAATTCTCCTTTCAAGACTAAAGTTCCATTTGATTATAAATACGGATTTGTAGATAAAACGAGAAGTGGAATATTAGGATTAACTTAAATAAACAAAAATAAATACCAAAATTTGTAATACTATTGTTCTATTAAATTAAAGTCTTACTTTTTTCAAGAACTTCTCTATAATTGTTATCAGCAGGTTAAATTTCGATTCCTGTTATAACATCCCATAAACGGATAGACTCATGATCACTACCCAATGTAAATATATTACCATAAGGAGAGAAACAAACTGATTAGACATTGTTAATATGACCATCTAATTTAGTTTTGTTTGTTCCTGTTTAAATATCCCATAGACGAATAGTGTGATCACTACTACCAGATCCTAATAAAAATCCATCAAGAGAGAAACAGACAGAATAGATAGTATTAGTATGACCACCCAATTTGACTTTTTATTCTCCTGTATTTATATCCCATAATATGATGAAACAATCATCACTACCAGAAGCTAATGTATTACCATCAGGAGAGATACAGACAGAATTGACACTATTGATATGACCATTCAATTTGGCTTTTTATTATCCTGTTTTAATATACCATAACAGGATTGAACAATCATCACTACCAGAAGCTAAAGTATTTCCATCAGGAGAGATAGAGATAGAGTTGACACTATTGATATGACCATCTAATTTTTCTTTTTATTATCCTGTTTTTATATCCCATAAAAGGATTGAACAATCATCACTACCAGAAGCTAAAGTATTTCCATCAGGAGAGATACAGACAGAGTTGACGTTGTTAATATGAGCAATCAATTTGGCTTTTTATTATCCTGTTTAAATATCCCATAGTCGGATAGAGTTATCGTTATTACCAGATGCTAATATAGTACCATCTGGGGAGAAACAAACCGATAAAACTTCGCTAGTATGACTATTTAATTTGGCTTTTTATTATCCTGTTTGTATATCCCATAACAGGATAGAACAATCATCACTACCAGAAGCTAAAGTATTTCCATCAGGAGAGATACAGACAGAGTTGACGTTTTTAATATGAGCAATCAATTCGGCTTTTTATTATCCTGTTTAAATGTCCCATAGTCGGATAGAGTTATCGTTATTACCAGATGCTAATATAGTACCATCAGGAGAGAAACAAACCGATAAAATTTTGCTAGAATGACGATCCAATATGGCTTTTTATTATTCTGTATATATATTCCACAAACGGATGGAGTTATCATCACTACCTGATGATAATGTAGTTCCATCAGGAGAGAAAAAAACCGATCTAACATAACCAGTATGACCCTCTAATTTAGCTTTTTATTTTCTTGTGTTTATATCCCATAGACGAATAGAATAATCACTACTACCGGACCCTAAAGTTATTCCATCAGGAGAGAAACAGATCGAGTTGACAGTGTTAGTATGACCATCTAATTTTGCTTTTTATTATCCTTTATTTATATCCCACAAACGGATGGAATAATCATAACTACTTGAGGCTAATGTATTTCCATCAGGAGAGAAACAAACTGAGTAAATAGTGTTAGTATGACCATCTAATTTTGTTTTGTATTATCCTGTTTTAAAATCCCATAGAAGAATAGAGTTATCATTACTACCAGAAGCTAATGTACTTCCATCAGGAGAGAAACAGACTGTATAGACATAATGAGTATGACCATCTAATTTGGATTTTTATTATCCTGTATTAATATCCCATAAACGTATAGAGCTATCTACACTACCAGATGCTAATGTAGTTCCATCAGGAGAGAAGCATACAGCTAAGACAGTATTTGTATGTCCATGCAATTTGGTTTTTTATTATTCTGTTTTAATATCCCATAAACGTATAGAGTTATCTACACTACCAGATGCTAATGTAGTACCATCAGGGGAGAAGCAAACCGATCGAACATAATCATTATGACCATCAAATTAGGATTTTTATTATCCTGTTTTTATATCCCATAAACGGATCGACTTATCATAACTACCAGATGCTAATGTAGTACCATCAGGAGAAATGCACACTGACTACACACTCCCACTATGACCATCTAATTTATTCAATTCATGTATTTTTAAGTTAATCCATTTACAATTAAACATCAATGCGCCATTCAAATTGGCTCCACTTATGTCTACATTATAGAATTATGATCCACTAAAATTGCATTGTGCAAAGTTGCCTCCAATAACTGAAGTGTTCTGGATTCTGATATTTTCAAAGCCTTAATTTTTAAGATCAGCTTTCATCTCCACCAATAGATTCAGTGCATTTGATCCACATTAAATAAACTTACTATCAAAAGCTGTGAGGTGAACCAAGAATTTTAAAAATTCTATGATTTTCTTATCTTAATCTATTTTTTGGATAAGATTTTATCTAATTTTTTGGTATCCATAAATCGAGTATTCCTTTTAACTAAATTCATGTTGATTAAGATTATTCATCAATTTTTTAAGTTACTTAATGGACCACAACATGTCTCTTAAATTCACTTCTGCATTTTCGTATTATTAGTAAAGCTTTTGATTATCATTTTAATCGAAGAATCCAATACTATCAGAAATTTTTTCTTTATTTAAGATCTTAATAATCAGGCTAAATATCAATGTATCAATATATTTCGATTAAGAGATAATATCATATAAATCTTCTTTCCATTCATAAGTTTGAATCCTTTAGTATATATAATTACTTACTTGATTATTGATTAAAATAATTGGATTCCTTCCTTCGACTTTTCGATAAAAGCCTTTATATGATAGTCCCACCAAATCTTAATCTTATCTAATTCAGTTAAATAATATTTTTTTTGATCATTCCAATCGTTTAAAGTTGTTCTTTCAAAAATTTAAACTAATTTTTCTAAGTCATTGTAGGAGGATTCTGCTAAATTAGTATTTTCGTTGATGAGATTCAGGAATGATTAATTTTCCTTTTCAATCCAATCATATCCTTACTTGATTGATTGTGATAATTCTTCCCAAATTTTCTTGAGCATTAATTCGGTTTTAGAGATCAAGGATTTAAAAGCAATTCTCTATTTTGTTAACTCAGAAGACTCATCAAGCTTGGAATCTTTTAATTTCTTGATAGCCATATCTTAAAATTTATTTATCGGAATTGTTTGTTTAACATTAACTCCATGGTCGTATTGGCATTCGGCACACAATTTCCTATAGCATGAACATATATGGGGTGCAACACATATAAATGATATTGGATTTTTTATGTGATGATTGCAATTCATTGATCTTTATTTGTTAATAAATTTATATTACTTTAAATTTAAGTTTTCTACTAAAAATGAATAAGAGTATATTTTTATTTTTTAAAGTTGATGCCCAGGCTTTGTTTAGACTTGGAATCGATTTTAGTTGAAGTAAAGATGCTATTGAAAATCAATTCTTCATTTGTATATTTTGATTCTTTCATAATATAGAGTGATTATTTTTTTAGATTATTTGGATAAATAAAATAAATTTTAAAGAATATCTTTCATTTTTCTTGTTCATCCTAATTATAGGCATAAATAATGGTTATTTTGTATTTTAATCCGAAGAAACAGGAATATGCCTCATTCAATCTTCCTCACCTCTTGATATTTCAAATAATCGATGTTGAATTTGAGGTTGTAGTGAAATTGTTATTCTTTGAATTTCTAGATATAGAAACTCAAAAAAACACTTAAATATTATTGTATAGTATCTTTATGTTGATAGCCTGAAAAGCTAATTTTCATTTCAAACACTCTTAAAAGGAATAAGACATTAGACATTTTAGTACATCCCTTAATTAAAATAATCGTTAAGAATTATCTTGGACTTTAATTTGTAAAAACCCCTTATAATTTATATAGATTAATCATTTTGTGATAAAGGATTATTATTAATAATTTTAAATATTTGCTTAAATATAATATTTTAATTAACTTAACAAGCATATAAGGCTCCTAAGGCGCCAGCCTTCTAAACAATAAATCTATTATTGTAAAGAAGATTCATCTGATCTTTAATATTAACTATATTTTCAATATGTANATCTCCACCAATAGATTCAGTGCATTTGATCCACATTAAATAAACTTACTATCAAAAGCTGTGAGGTGAACCAAGAATTTTAAAAATTCTATGATTTTCTTATCTTAATCTATTTTTTGGATAAGATTTTATCTAATTTTTTGGTATCCATAAATCGAGTATTCCTTTTAACTAAATTCATGTTGATTAAGATTATTCATCAATTTTTTAAGTTACTTAATGGACCACAACATGTCTCTTAAATTCACTTCTGCATTTTCGTATTATTAGTAAAGCTTTTGATTATCATTTTAATCGAAGAATCCAATACTATCAGAAATTTTTTCTTTATTTAAGATCTTAATAATCAGGCTAAATATCAATGTATCAATATATTTCGATTAAGAGATAATATCATATAAATCTTCTTTCCATTCATAAGTTTGAATCCTTTAGTATATATAATTACTTACTTGATTATTGATTAAAATAATTGGATTCCTTCCTTCGACTTTTCGATAAAAGCCTTTATATGATAGTCCCACCAAATCTTAATCTTATCTAATTCAGTTAAATAATATTTTTTTTGATCATTCCAATCGTTTAAAGTTGTTCTTTCAAAAATTTAAACTAATTTTTCTAAGTCATTGTAGGAGGATTCTGCTAAATTAGTATTTTCGTTGATGAGATTCAGGAATGATTAATTTTCCTTTTCAATCCAATCATATCCTTACTTGATTGATTGTGATAATTCTTCCCAAATTTTCTTGAGCATTAATTCGGTTTTAGAGATCAAGGATTTAAAAGCAATTCTCTATTTTGTTAACTCAGAAGACTCATCAAGCTTGGAATCTTTTAATTTCTTGATAGCCATATCTTAAAATTTATTTATCGGAATTGTTTGTTTAACATTAACTCCATGGTCGTATTGGCATTCGGCACACAATTTCCTATAGCATGAACATATATGGGGTGCAACACATATAAATGATATTGGATTTTTTATGTGATGATTGCAATTCATTGATCTTTATTTGTTAATAAATTTATATTACTTTAAATTTAAGTTTTCTACTAAAAATGAATAAGAGTATATTTTTATTTTTTAAAGTTGATGCCCAGGCTTTGTTTAGACTTGGAATCGATTTTAGTTGAAGTAAAGATGCTATTGAAAATCAATTCTTCATTTGTATATTTTGATTCTTTCATAATATAGAGTGATTATTTTTTTAGATTATTTGGATAAATAAAATAAATTTTAAAGAATATCTTTCATTTTTCTTGTTCATCCTAATTATAGGCATAAATAATGGTTATTTTGTATTTTAATCCGAAGAAACAGGAATATGCCTCATTCAATCTTCCTCACCTCTTGATATTTCAAATAATCGATGTTGAATTTGAGGTTGTAGTGAAATTGTTATTCTTTGAATTTCTAGATATAGAAACTCAAAAAAACACTTAAATATTATTGTATAGTATCTTTATGTTGATAGCCTGAAAAGCTAATTTTCATTTCAAACACTCTTAAAAGGAATAAGACATTAGACATTTTAGTACATCCCTTAATTAAAATAATCGTTAAGAATTATCTTGGACTTTAATTTGTAAAAACCCCTTATAATTTATATAGATTAATCATTTTGTGATAAAGGATTATTATTAATAATTTTAAATATTTGCTTAAATATAATATTTTAATTAACTTAACAAGCATATAAGGCTCCTAAGGCGCCAGCCTTCTAAACAATAAATCTATTATTGTAAAGAAGATTCATCTGATCTTTAATATTAACTATATTTTCAATATGTATAATGAATCAAAAATTTTTATTATTAACTGATAAATCGAAAGTGGAATCTTAATTGAAAAATTAGCATTAGGAGTATCAACTAAGCCCATACTAATTTCTTATTTATTTGGAAGCTATCTGGCCTCCGTAATCTTAATATAGTATGCAAGTGATGTTTCTGATGATCTAATGGGTTACACAATCATATCATTAAGGACTTACTTATTTTTATTACTCAATATTATGTGCTACTTTTTTCATGATGTATATTTTTAGTAGAAATAGAAAAACATTTCTTTGGACAATTAATACTATAGTTTAAAACCATATGTCTCACGTTAAAATATTTAAATATTATTTCATTTTTCATATTATAAGTCAATAAATTTTAAGTGGAGATTAAATTAGTAGGATCTTTTAATTTGTATCCTTACTCTTAAGGAAATTACTGAGATGGAAGTAATTGTATAGAGCTTCAATTAAGCTCATACTTAAATTAGCTGAAAACATCTTCAATGGAGTAATTGATGAAGATGAAGTCTGGAATACTTTTGCTTATAGACTGAGATGGCAATAGTTTACATATAAAGAAAAAAGAGTTAATTAAAGGGAGTTTGTGATTAGATAGAAAAAGGGTTATCTCCTGAGTTTTTCACATAAGATTAAATACTGTCCATATATGGGTGTCTTGAAAGACTTAAATATAATTAGAAAAAATGTAAGTAATGTGAAGCTTGATGGTCGTTAAGTCATGTTTAAATCCATAGCTCTTTTCTGTTCTAAATCTTT